ACTACATGAAACTTACCAAACGATAAGGGAAGTGTGTGAAGATTTGACTACATGAAACTTACCAAACGATAAGGGAAGTGTGAAGATTTGACTACATGAAACTTACCAAACGATAAGGGAAGTGTGTGAAGATTTGACTACATGAAACTTACCAAACGATAAGGGAAGTGTGAAGATTTGACTACATGAAACTTACCAAACGATAAGGGAAGTGTGAAGATTTGACTACAGGAAACTTACCAAACGATAAGGGAAGTGTGTGAAGATTTGACTACATGAAACTTACCAAACGATAAGGGAAGTGTGAAGATTTGACTACATGAAACTTACCAAACGCTTAGGGACTTTAGTGAAATATGAAACTACATGAACATTACCGAACGATTAGGGACTTTAGTGAAATATGAACCTACATGAACCTTACGATTTGGGACTTTAGTGAAATATGAAACTACATGAACATTACCAAACGATTAGGGACTTTAGTGAAATATGAAACTACATGAACCCTACCAAACGATTAGGGACTTTAGTAAAATATGAAACTACATAACCCTACGATTAGGGACTTTAGTGAAATATGAAACTACATGAACCCTACCAAACGATTAGGGACTTTAGTGAAATATGAAACTACATGACCCTACAATTAGGGACTTAAGTGAAATATGAAACTACATGAACCCTACCAAACGATTAGGGACTTTAGTGAAATATGAAACTACATGAACCTTACGATTTGGGACTTTAGTGAAATATGAAACTACATGAACCTTACGATTAGGGACTTTAGTGAAATATGAAACTACATGAACCTTACGATTAGGGACTTTAGTGAAATATGAAACTACATGAACCTTACGATTAGGGACTTTAGTGAAATATGAAACTTCATGAACCTTACCAAACGATTAGGGACTTTAGTGAAATATGAAACTACATGAACCTTACGATTAGGGACTTTAGTGAAATATGAAACTACATGAACCTTACGATTAGGGACTTTAGTGAAATATGAAACTACATGAACCTTACGATTAGGGACTTTAGTGAAATATGAAACTACATGAACCCTACCAAACGATTAGGGACTTTAGTGAAATATGAAACTACATGACCCTACGATTAGGGACTTTATTGAAATATGAAACTACATGAACCCTTCCAAACAATAAGGGACTTTAGTGAAATGTGAAACTACATGAACCCTACGATTTGGGACTTGTGTGAAAGATATAACGTCTGTCTTCAGTGCAAGAATTCACCAGAGAATTTCTAGAAATTTCTAGCGTCTGTTGTAGGTGACAGGCAAGTAATGATTAAAAAAACAATTTTTTTATAATTGATGTTCTCGGAAAAATAATATGATATAAAAATGTTTAAGTAAATACGGTTCAGCATAATCGATGCGGTTAAGTTTTTACGGGTGAGAGGAAAATTGATGTAAGCGACACGATTGTTATAGTTTGTTTACTAAAGAAATTGATTTCGGAATTTTGGTACGTATGAACTTCACTTGTTTGATAGAAGTACCTTGCTATAATCTTGTTTGACTCCAGTACTTTTTATAATAGTGTGTGACTCCTTTGACTCCAGTACTTTGCTATAAATGTGCATAACATCAATGACTCTAATTCTTAACTATAAACATGTGTGACTCCTGTGACTCAAGTACTTTACAGCAAACTTCTATGACTCCAGTGTCCTGCCCAACACTTATGTGACTCCAATGTTCTGCCAACACTTTTATGACTCCACTGCTTCTAACACACTGCTCTAAACTTCTATGACACAAATGACTCCACTACTCAAATATGACTCTGGTTCTCCATGCGACTCAAATGACTCCAAAACGCACTCAAAGTATATGACTCGAGTACCTCGCTCAAGCCTCCGTATGACGCATGACTCCACTTCATTCCCCCTCTTACCAAACCAGCAAGACTACCCCGCCTAATACCCTTATCCGTGGTACCACTTACATAATATTCAATTATGTTTTATCCCCGTTTCGCCCCCCCCCCCCCCACAGCGACTGTGTGACGTCATCTGTACTAAGCTCCCATATGACTTCTAGATTAATCCTACACCCACTTCTCTATAAACTGCTTGCACGCTAGCAACATTTTTTTAGCCCGGTGACCTCCGACCTTTGTACAGTGAACTCTGAACTTTGTCTACAGTGCTGGGAGAGATGGGATTAATTTGGTTCGGTCTGACATCGAGCTAAGTGTCATGTCACAGTCGGCTGCCATGTCATGTTGTACAGTCATGTCATGTTGTACAGTCATGTCATGTTCTAATGTCATGTCACGTTTTACATTCATGTCACGTTCTAATGTCATGTCATGTTGTACAGTCATGTCATGTTGTACAGTCATGTTATGTTGTAATGTCATGTCACGTCGAACAGTCATGTCATGTTCTTATGTCATGTCATGTTCTAATGTCATGTCATGTTGAACAGTCATGTCATATTCTAATGCCATGTCATATTCTAATGCCATGTCATGTTCTAATGTCATGTCATGTTGTACAGTCATGTCATGTTGTACAGTCATGTTATGTTGTAATGTCATGTCACGTCGAACAGTCATGTCATGTTCTTATGTCATGTCATGTTCTAATGTCATGTCATGTTGAACAGTCATGTCATGTTGTACAGTCATGTCATGTTCTAATGCCATGACATACTCAAATGTAATATTATGTCATAATGCCATGTCATGTTCTAATGCCATGTCATGTTATACTAAGCCCAAACATAACATTTGACAATCATAATGCTAAACCTAACTAATCACCTAAACCTAAACACGAAAAAAAAACAGTCTTTGAGCTATCAGTAGATATTCATTTATTTTATCTCCCCCAAAATCTACCCAGCGATATATCCGCCTAACACGAATTCAACCAAGAAATATTACTGGCTTCAGATTTGTCTTCCTTTATGGTCTACAGGGCAATGACCCCGTGAGAAGAAAACTTAATTTACCCACCAGTGACCTTGTAACATGAGCCGAGGCACGTGATTTATTTTGGTTTCCAGCGTGAGTACACAAATGTATGTGTCAGATACGATTAGGGGGGACGAAGCTCAAGGCTATATGACCATGAAAATATCAAATCAGTCCGTTGCTAATAGGGCTGGTAAGTAGGCCACCAACCAGCTCTATGGCTCATGCAGGTTTTATTGAGCCGAAGAACTGGTTGGTGACCTACTTACCAGCCCTATTATTATATGGGTAGATTTTACGTCTAACATAAAAAAATGGACAGGAGAAAGTACTTTTGTATTGTCTATTTAAAGAACAGCTTACAAACTGGTACGAGGTCATCCAAATATGACGTCATGCTTTTTTTTTGACGATTTTTACATCATCCTCCTCTGTCGCACTTCATCAAATAAAAAAAACCCAGGACCCCCCCCCCCCCCCGCTCCTAAAACGATGTTAAACATCACCCTACAACCCCCCCCCCCTTCCTCAAATTCGCAGTTTTATTTTTTAACATGGTTTTTTTGCTAAAATATTGACTGAGCCCCCCCCCCCCCCGCCAACCCCACCTCCTAGGAGTGTGACCTCAGTTATGAACGACCCCTAATGTATAGTATTTTTAAACCACAACAAAATAACATGGATATGTGTGTCTGAACACTACTTCTACAAGCACAGGTGGGGGCAGGTGAAGTAGAGTACACATGTTTTTCTGTGACCTCAGCGCCAAATGGGATAATGTGGTCAATGCTAGTACATTATTCTTTAGTTTCCCTGACGCCACCAGTGACCACTTCGTAGAGTGGGGGTTCGAATCCTGGCTAGAATTCTTGCGTTCTACGACCACGCCTTCCCTTATCTAAAACGTAAAGAAGAAATATATAGTTTCGTATTTTTTCGTATATATATATATATATATATATATATATATATATATATATATATATATATATATATATATATATATATATATATATGGAGAGAGATAAATAGAAAGACAAAGAGAGAGAGAGGAGGGAGGGAGGGAGACAAAAAAAAAGATATTTAGATTAAATAGGGAATTTTATTTCTATTTTTGCACCCTAAAAGCCAAACAACTTAATGTTTTGATGGTTCAAACAACGAAACCACCCGACCATCCGACACACAAAAAGCTTTTGCAACATACAGTAAACATCTTTTGCCTATCTTCAGGAGAGCTGAGGTTTCTCCGCGCAGACAATGCACCGGAACTGAACACGACATGAATGTGGCCAGATTTTTTAAGACTGACTGCCATGCGTGTCTGAGGCCATAAAGCATTGGCTCGAGTCAGGGAAAGTTGCTAAAGGGGCCATTAGGGTGGTAGGTAGTCCGGGCAGTTTAAAAACATCTCGACACGAAGGGGAGGTAAAACACGGGGAGATAAAAACTTACTTCTGAGACGTCATTCAATTTCATGTAGGAACGTTAAATTTAGAATATTCTAAGAAACTGGGAAAACTGGAACTAACAATCTGGGGGTACCTTTATAAGGCTATATGTAAATATATATATATATATATATATATATATATATATATATATATATATATATATATATATATATATATAATGTGTGTGTGTATGTGAGTGCATGCGTGCGTGTGTATGTATGTATGTGTGTGTGTGCGTGCGTGCGTGTGTGTGTGTGAAGTCCTATTTAGTTATCAGTAGTGAAAATAATTTATACTCTATAAATGGTTTTATGTTCTACACGAATTTATTGCCTGTCTGACAACATAGCGAATGACAGACTTGCTGTCTAGCAAAACACAAAAAAATGATAAACTAGCTGTCTGACAAAACACAAGTGACAGATCTTGTCATAATAAAGATTCCAGGCACGTTCAAAACGCCGCCAACAGAATGATTGGCTTACAAAAGCTGGGTGGGGATAAACCAAATCTTTGTCAAGTCAACCCTCAGACTTTTATTTCATTACAGTTGAGTCAAATTTGGATGCTACTTCTTCTTTCGTCCCTTTCAAATGAAACTTTTACTAATGTTTTTGTTTTTCTCTATCTGTGTGGAGCTGTGCACGGCTGTGTGAAGCTGGGCACGGCTGTGTGGAGCTGGGCACGGCTGTGTGGAGCTGGGCACGGCTGTGTTGAGCTGGGCACGGCTGTGTGGAGCTGGGCACGGCTGTGTGGAGCTGGGCACGGCTGTGTGAAGCTGTGCACGGCTGTGTGGAGCTGGGCACGGCTGTGTGGAGCTGGGCACGGCTGTGTGGAGCTGGGCACGGCTGTGTGGAGCTGGGCACGGCTGTGTGGAGCTGGGCACGGCTGTGTGGAGCTGTGCACGGCTGTGTGGAGGTGTGCACGGCTGTGTGAAGCTGGGCACGGCTGTGTGGAGCTGGACACGGCTGTGTGAACGGCTGTGTGGAGCTGGGCACGGCTCTGTGGAGCTGGGTACGGCTGTGTGGAGCTGTGCACGGCTGTGTGGAGCTGTGCACGGCTGTGTGGAGCTGGGCAAGGCTCTGTGGAGCTGGGTACGGCTGTGTGAACGGCTGTGTGGAGCTGGGCACGGCTGTGTGGAGCTGGGCACGGCTGTGTGGAGCTGGGCAAGGCTGTGTGGAGCTGGGCACGGCTGTGTGGAGCTGGGTACGGCTGTGTGGAGCTGGGCACGGCTGTGTGGAGCTGGGCACGGCTGTGTGAAGCTGGGCACGGCTGTGTGGAGCTGTGCACGGCTGTGGAGGTGTGCACGGCTGTGTGGAGCTGGGCACGGCTGTGTGGAGCTGGACACTGCTGTTTGAACGGCTGTGTGGAGCTGGGCACGGCTGTGTGGAGCTGGGTACGGCTGTGTGGAGCTGGGCACGGCTGTGTGGAGCTGGGCACGGCTGTGTGAAGCTGGGCACGGCTGTGTGGAGCTGTGCACGGCTGTGGAGGTGTGCACGGCTGTGTGGAGCTGGGCACGGCTGTGTGGAGCTGGACACTGCTGTTTGAACGGCTGTGTGGAGCTGGGCAAGGCTCTGTGGGGCTGGGTACGGCTGTGTGAACGGCTGTGTGGAGTTGTGCACGGCTGTGTGGAGTTGTGCACGGCTGTGTGGAGTTGTGCACGGCTGTGTGGAGTTGTGCACGGCTGTGTGGAGCTGTGCACGGCTGTGTGGAGCTGGGCAAGGCTCTGTGGAGCTGGGTACGGCTGTGGGGAGCTGGGTACGGCTGTGTGGAGCTGGGTACGGCTGTGTAGAGCTGGGTACGGCTGTGTGAACGGCTGTGTGGAGCTGGGTACGGCTGTGTGGAGCTGGGTACGGCTGTGTGGAGCTGGGTACGGCTGTGTGGAGCTGAGCAAGGCTCTGTGCACGGCTGTGTGGACGGCTGTGAGAAGCTGAGCACAACTGCTACTAAGCAGTACGGTTATATCAGCTACACAACAATTGTACGAACTGTGCCATCAGTTGACTGAGTACTATAATTACCCACGCTCTAAACTATCCCCCGACCAGCGTGTCCCCAGTTATGTAATTAAGGTTGTTTAAAACACCCCAAGTTACACAACATTCAACCCTAAGACAATCAAATCTCGAAACCGCTTCCTTTTTAGTTCAACTTTATCCATCAATTACAACAGTCTATAGCTGGCCAGGGGAATAGAAAAAAACAACATTAAACGATGGAAATCGACTTATTTAGTATCACCCCCCCCTCCCCCTACACGTTATTTACACCGTCTTTAAGATGTTAATTCACCCACCGGATAAAATGTAGCATAAGACAGCTTCCAGTAAATCTTTTTTTTCTCCAAACACGAAACGCGACTCGTACATCGCTGGTATGTGTGGCGGCCATATTTCACAGATCCGCTAGAACGGTGGTGTTTAGTTCTGTTTTATTTGAGCGTGGATCTTCTCAGGTTCCCTCCCAGCTAAGTTATGTCTAGGGAGGAACAATTTACCGCCTTTCTGTGAGTCGTGCTTGATCAAGGATAAAGTAGAAAACAGAGCGTGGTTTTGACTTAACTGTTTTTGTGATTTTGTCCCCCCAATAAAACCCATCTAAACATGTGATTTTGTCCCCCCAATAAAACCAATGCAAACATGTGATTTGGTTTCCTGCTTCCTGAGCATAAATCAATAAACAGCACAATCAAGATGACGGCGAAAGTAAAATTAGCCTCATCAATATTCAAAAGATCAAGTTTTCGTGTCTACTGCATCCATCAATATTCAAGGCCGCAGGAATTTGTCTGATGTAGAAACTCCACATCGGAAGTTGTAGCCTAGTTTGTTTTTATCCAAGACGTTAACCTCGAAGTGCGAGGTACGATTCCAGAGTTTCTTCCAGGCATCTCTTCGGGGGAGGGGGGGGGGGGGGGAGGGGGCACCGCCCCCCCCCCCCAAGAAAGTGTACCGCCCCCCCCCCCCCCGAACGAAATACAATTTAAATAGAAAATATATACTTTTGAAAGTGTCCCCCCCCCCCGAAAACTGTTGTCCGCTCCCCCCCCCCCCCAGAAAATTTCAAGTGCACCCCGGAGAAAAAAGTCTGGATGAAACACTGTACGATTCCAGGTTACACCGAAATATATTTCCAATATTGCTAGTACAAAATGATAAGTCAATAATGAGTGCTAGAGCCCTAACACGTCTCTGAGTCCACCCAGCTCTAATGGGTACCTGGCTTACGTTCGGGAAAGTAAAGACGGTCGGGCGTAGTACTGACCATACAATCCTTTTGTAAGCCGACGGCATAGAAACAGGTAAACTCTACTTCACCTACCTCGTGGGCCACCCTGTTTCGAAAGGGATTTTTACTTTAACTTTTACACGTAGTCCAATACAACAGCACATGTTTAGACCACTCGATTTAACTTATATTTTCATTGCTTCAAATGTAATCCCGGTGTAGTAGGTGGGGTTGGGTGATGGACGGAGAGATACATTGACAAAAATCTCTTCAATTTTTTAACTTCTCTTCTGAACCACATATTCAACTTGTTTCACCCGTCTGAAGTGCAGTCGTCGATACACCCTCTCCCTGGGTCGATACCCCCCCCCCAACCTTCCCCCACTCCCAGGTAAAATGGTCCCGTCAATGAAATGATCTAACTACCCCCTCATGCATACCAAGATATCACGCATATCATTCAACGCGGGAGTCTGAACTTTGGAATCACTATAATTCACACGGCATTATAATTATCTCGCCTAATAAAGAACAGAAAAGTAATTTAAAAATCGATACATATGAAAGGAAAACAAAATAGATGCAGCGACGCGTGGTTGTAAAAAAAATTGTCTTGTCATCTAAAAACTAGAGCTATTCGATTCCAGGTGGAGGAATAATACTTGTGTTTTAGCCCGTGGTTATGTTGGCTACCGGTTCAAATACTAGCTGACTTTACCGGTCTGCTGTAGGTTTGTAGTCAATGAGAATTTGGAATGGGAAATAAAATTCTAAGCACTGCCGTGGTTTCCCGCGAATAATGGAAGTTACAAAATAGAACTGCCTAGTATTTTTTTGTCACAAATTTTAGTCATGTACAATTATTTTTTACGACCCCATTATGTAATGTTAACAAAATTATCAAATAAAATGACACTTTTTTTTCCCTATAATACATAAAATTAAATGAATATAGTCATAACCTCGAACGAATTCCTAACCCTTGCCAGGTATAAAAGTATATATATATATATATATATATATATATATATATATATATATATATATATATATATATATATATATATATATATATATATATATATATATATATATATACATATATATATATACACTAGCCGTCCCGGCCAGGCCCTGCTCTGGCTTCTGTGAAAAACCTTTCCGTTAAAGACCATTACCTGTGTGTTTAGTAATCATCATAAACCCGGCATTGCCCACCCAAACCACAACCAACCAAAACAACAAAACGCAAACATAACGCTAACACAATTAGAAATACAAACGAAAACAAAAACCTAACAACAAACCCAACCACAACCACAAACACCAATACAAACACAAAGAAAAAACAAACGAAAACAAAAACCTAACAACAAACCCAACCACAAACACCAATACCAAAAAAAAAAACAACGAAAAAGCAAACGAAAACAAACCAAATCCAAACGCAAAACCAACCAAAAACACAAATACAAACCCAAACAAAAAAAAACACAAACAAAAACGAAAAAAGAAAGAACAAAAACGAACCAAATCAAAACGCAACCACTAACGCAAACCCACCTAAACACAAAGAAAACACTAACGCGAACATAAACGCCCGGGGCAGAATCGCCTGTTTTAGCTTAATAAACGACTATAGTACCCCAACTTATTCATAGTTTTTGCACTCACTTAAACGAACGCGCCTGTTTCAATTTAATGAACAATTATAATACTCCAAGCTTATCCGTAAAATACCTAAAACATTTGCACTTGATCAATCCCCGCTAATTATGTAATTATTTTTTTCCCAACACCAAAACAAAGTAATTAAAAAGTAAATGCTTTTCAACTAATGCAATGATTTCATAAAGGGAAGTAATTGTGTTTTGCCTAATTTATCAAAGGGAAGTAAGCGCTATAGGACTAAATAAAAACATAATTAGAATTTTTGTAAAAGATGATATTTTTTAAAAACTTGTGTTTAATGAACATGCCGACAATTATTACTATAATTTGAAAAATGAAAATGATTTCCCAACACTTTTAATAGTAATTTTTTAACTCATAAATTTAGACAAACGCGCACGATAATTGATCTAACACTTAAATCCGTAGAAATGCCAACGACAAACATGCGTTACAGAATTGAGCTTTATATATCAGATATATATATATACATATATATATATACATATATATATATACATATATATATATATACATATATATATACATATATATATACATATATATATATATATATACATATATATATACATATATATATACATATATATATATATATATATATATATATATATATATATATATATATATATATATATATATATATATATATATAATGATATTTAGAACTGTAGAGCAGTCTTCATCTAAATCCTTAACCACGTTCCTCATCCTTAACCTACTCTCCTACCTAACCATGTAGATAAGTACCATTCTTCCACACACCCCCCCCCCCCCCCCCTATACCTTAACGCACCCTGAGCCTTGCAGAAACGTACCATCCGTCAAAGAGAACTGGTCCATTTTCCTCCCTGACCCACTGACGCCAGGTTTATGATTTGCATTGGTTCCTCAACTCTAAAGATATCTATCTATAAAGATGTGTTGATTTATGCCCCATCTGTGGCCCGAAATAAATCAATTTATATCGCTTTTCGTGGTCAGCGATCTGATTGGAAAAATGTTCACTTCCGGTGTGGGAGCGAGGCTATCAGCCTCACCAAATATTGGGAAAAGAAAATGAACAAGAATCTATAAATGATGAACAAATAGATTTTGTGAAGAAAAAATTTATTTGCGCGGCTGTAGACACGAGGGGTGGGGATGGAGGGGGGGAGGGGGTAGACTATCGCTGTCCATCTTTACTCTTTCGACACGTGCCGGCAAATTTACACGGCTTGGAGAGTTCTGGAAATAGAGGATTTTGTCCATGTAATTCACCTTCATGGGGGGGGGGGGGGGATTGGAATTTACTAGATATATTGACACGCAGGGGTAAATATTTAACACTGAATAAACAATCTCTGTTCTCATTCACACATATGGGGTAATAAACTCATTCGAAAAAGAACCCGTGTTGTTATTTATTATGAGAAAAACGGTAATATATTTATATAGATGTTTATCGAGGCTAAGCTTAGGGAGGAATTCTTCAGGGAGAAGCTATGCTATGTAGGGTAAGGGTGGGTGGTGTGGAGGGGGGGGGGGGGGGTTATTGAAGCTGTTTATTAACAGCTTTTTTTGTTTTGTAGCAGATTTGGCGAAAGTGAGAAGTTGATAATTAGACAGGTGGTTAATTAGTCAGCGCACGCGACGTTATGCCGTGAAGACGAGATATATGGGCGTGGTCAAGACTGCGCAGACAAACATGAGAACCGGATACCAATGGCACGACATTTTTTTATTATTAAAAGCTTTAAAGGTCACTTTAACGGACATGATCATATCTGTAGAGCAGATGAAGTAGAGTTGGTCTGTTTCTATAACTTTGGCGTATGAAGTGTTGGCAACCATTTCCCAACTTCCTATACATTCACCAACTCTGGTCTGTACTAAGTGAAGATGGCGGGTCTGTGGCTAACAGAGCAATAACCGTGTAAGTTTTAATCTACAGTTAGGTGGCCGAGTGTAACAACTCATTCAGGCCACGTCATCACGTCACCATACGACTTCTTGGTCACTCGACCACGTGACAACGACCTCTCGACCTCTCCACCACTCCACTCAGCCACTTCGACACTCTAACCCTTGGCCATCTCACTACTCGACTCTTCCCCTAAACGGTCTCTCGACCACTCCACCAAAACCTCTCCACCACTCCACAAAAACCTCTTCACCGCTCCACCAAACGGCCTCTCGACCACTCCACCACTCCACCAAAACCTCTCCACCTCTCCACCACTCCACCAAAACCTCTCCACAAAAACCTCTCCACCACTCCACCAAAACCTCTCCACCACTCCACCAAAACCTCCCCACCTCCCCACCCCTCTACCAATCGACCGCTAACCACATTTCTCCATTTTTATAAAATGTACTCAGCCTGCTAATTTAGTTAGTTTAGTAGCTTGAAACTCATTTACACATTTGCCACAATCCATTAAAAAATTATTAAATCAATTAACGAAACTATTTCTGGAGCTCTCGTTAAAAAAAAACAACAGTAATCCCGTGATTATAGAGGAGAAACGCCCACTTTAACAATGTGGTAACAACTGGGCGGGTGGTAAAACTTTAACAACTTACCATAAATGTCTTAAGACAAACTCACAACAACAGCTGATTGTGTAATATAACGGATACATATTTACATTTTCTGTAGGATTAAGTTTATTAATAGCTTCGGATTTTTAATATTTTATTTTACAGTAGTTAGGGCCCTGTGTTGTCTAAAAAAAAAGACTTGCTTAGCTTAAGACAGATACTTGTCTTGGAAGTCAAGCATGTCTTGTTTAAAAGTAGATCAAACTTTGTCTGGTTTAGTATGATACCTCACAGGAAAGTACCATCAAAGAGTACCCGACCCTCCACACCCACACCCCCACCCCCATAAACCTATACTTTAACGCACTCCTGAGCCTTACTTTGTTTTGTAAGACAAAAAAATCTTGTTTAGAAGAAGACTGAAATCTGTCTTGTCACACAAAAATGTGTCTTATTTAGCACAAGTCCAAACTCATGTTTTGTCTCATTTAACAGAAGACCGAAGTTTGACTTGTAATATACAAATGTCTTATCTATCATGAGACCGAACCTTGTCTTGTAAGACAGTGACAAGACCACATCACGTTGAACCAACACCTTAGCTGCGGTCTTGTAAGACAGTCACAAGACCACATCACATTGAACCAACACCTTAGCTGCGGTCTTGTAAGACAGTCACAAGACCACATCACATTGAACCAACACCTTAGCTGCGGTCTTGTAAGACAGTCACAAGACCACATCACGTTGAACCAACACCTTAGCTGCGGTCTTGTAAGACAGTCACAAGACCACATCACGTTGAACCAACACCTTAGCTGCGGTCTTGTAAGACAGTCACAAGACCACATCACGTTGAACCAACACCTTAGCTGCGGTCTTGTAAGACAGTCACAAGACCACATCACGTTGAACCAACACCTTAGTTGCGGTCTTGTAAGACAGTCACAAGACCACATCACGTTGAACCAACACCTTAGCTGCGGTCTTGTAAGACAGTCACAAGACCACATCACGTTGAACCAACACCTTAGCTGCGGTCTTGTAAGACAGTCACAAGACCACATCACGTTGAACCAACACCTTAGCTGCGGTCTTGTAAGACAGTCACAAGACCACATCACGTTGAACCAACACCTTAGTTGCGGTCTTGTAAGACAGTCACAAGACCACATCACGTTGAACCAACACCTTAGCTGCGGTCTTGTAAGACAGTCACAAGACCACATCACGTTGAACCAACACCTTAGCTGCGGTCTTGTAAGACAGCCACCTCGCATTGAACCAACACCCTAGCTGCGGTCTCCCGGCGTATGCTGATTGACACATCCATTTAGGCAACACACAGCCGCCATCTTGGCCAGTCTTTGTTGCATCCAGCAGGCGAACGAGAGTCGTCTGCTTCGGGTATTACTGCCGTGTGTAAGGGTATTATGTCTTCTGCGACCTCTTGTTCGGCTTTCCCTGAGTACCTTATGGAGGAAGAAATCCGTACAAGAATTTTGTTGTTCGTTGAGTTCAATTATGAAGGGTTTTTTACCCAGTATGTGCGTAGATGGTACGTTTTACACAGTATGTGCGTAGATGGTAGGTTTTACCCAGTATTTGCATAGAAGCTTCGTTTTATGCAGTACTAGCCTTCTGTATCCGTTACACGTGAATTATATCCATATATTTTTTTAAATGTTATACTTATTTGAGAAATTTATAAAATAAAATAGCTATTAGTCAAAACTAACGATGTTAGTGACAAAGCAAATTAATAATTAAATAGCTAAAAATTCCGACTTATTTAATTTAACATAAGCTTCCAATGCCTATTTGAAAAATTAAAACCAAATTATATACATTATTAGTCAACACAACACCATTATAAATGTCCGCACTGATTATACGACTAAAATGATTCCGTTAAAAACCCGACTATTCAATGGTATTTCTGTTGTTTTTTAAACTAATTTTGGTCGAGAAAATTTTATAAATTTCACAGCGTTCGTCTTGATAAGTAGATCTATAGATTTAAATCAAATTTGAATGAAATAGATCTTGTTCTTTTATTCATATTCTAAAATTGGAATATGTGGCAAGCGAAACTTATTGAAGTTGACATCATTAGTATTGTGTATCATTTTCGAAATTCAATTTTAATTTCACTTTTTACAAGCTTTTATTTAACTCACTTCCTCTGTCGTAAGTCGACAGTCTGTCGTCAGTCTAGATCGAAACGCAAGAGTGAAAATTCGGATAGTTCTACTTGACCGAGACGATTCACAGTTGGCACATGGGTCCAGACATGAAGACAATGCAATATGAAATTAAATTAGATTTAATTGGATGCCTAATTAATTTTTTATGAATTAATTACAATTTGGACCGAATTTGTAGGCATGTCTATCCAACCACACCACACGCGTCATCACGTTCAATAGCTGCGCCATCAGGTTCAATAGCTGCGCCATCACGTTCAATAGACGCGCAATGGTTTTTAGTCATGTAACACTATTGTAAATAAAACATGTAAAGTACTGAAAAAAAATTCATAAAAAACGTTTTAATAACAAGCTTTTATGTACTAATGCACTAAAAAGTAGAAAATAAACTATACACTACTATTTAAATTACTATAAAAAAAGCGTGGGTCTCTTCTCAAATATTAGTAAAGGTATATCCAATAGGTACTAAAGTACTAAAGTGACCCACGCTTTTCTTTATAGTAATTTAAATAGTAGTGTATAGTTTATTTTCTACTTTTTAGTGCATTAGTACATAAAAGCTTGTTATTAAAACGTTTTTTATGAATTTTTTTTATCCTACAGCCAATGACGCCATGAGTGTTGTGTACTTTAAGTAGTTTAAACCTTTTATTTATATTGTTTCATAATGATATTTTTCTATTTGTATCATGTGACGTTATTATTTTAGCGAGTGATATTTTGTGTACTACTTATATGATTGCTCTCTAGCACATCTTGTCATAACCATAAACACTTTTCTGGTCGCAAAAATAAAGAAGTGTTTCTACATTCGAATATGCCTTTATTTTTATTTTCCGTCTTTAAATAAAATTTAGTTTATAAATTTAATACATCCAACATATTATTTTCAACCAAAGTCCGTATCGTTAAGTTCTCCATATATCGCTGAAGATACTGATCTCATAGCATCGGAAAATATTTTTCGGACAGAGAGCAAGAGAGTAGTGTAGATGTTCTGTTGTATCCAATATTTTATATTACGCTTCAAAGGCCGAGTTAGAGTTAAGCTAATGGTAAGCATTGAGCCTTTGAGTTCAGCTCAGGTTTAATGCTAAGATAATCCTA